TTAAGCCAGTCTATGTCCTTATGCACGTAAATGCTTTCCTGGGGTACTCTTAATGCAGATTGTTACCCTGTCGTATGTCATCACCGTTCAGGGTTACCGTGACGACACTCGTGGTCACTCACTCACCTCTCAGCGGGCGCAGCGTCGTCTCGACTCGTTGACCTTTGACCTGCATGACATCGTCGTGTAGGGAGATGGCGAAGTCGGCGGGCTTAGCGAATGGCGATGTGACGGTGACCGTCATGGCGGATGGTTCGTACAGTGGCGCCTCTACCTTCACCGTGTCCTGTGTGGTGAGAGAGACAGCATTTAGCGTTTGCTTGCATCGCCATCTCCTGGAGTGGCCGCTATTATCAGAGCCCTGGGTCATCCTTTAAAAATTATGTTTGCTGTCCTCCGACCGACCCACGAAAATAGCCGCCACCCAAAAGTGTTTTTTTACATTTTGGGTTCCATATTTTTTTTTTTTTTACATTTTTCATAGTTAAGACTGAAACACAAAGCATGTGTGGCAAACATAAGGACAGACTTAAAATAACTATTATGCCTCACACAAAAAAATGACCTACCTACCTACCCACTAAAAAAATCATGGATCGGGGGACAGCAAACAGAATTTTTTAAGGATGGCACTGTAGACCTGGAGACCTTGAGGCTTTCCGCCACCGTGCTAGGTCCTATGTGCTGCAATGGCTAGGTCAAGTGTAGTGAAGTGACCCGAGAAGAAGAAGGCTACATGCATGATCATGTGAGAATCAACCATTCTACCAGCCCTTCTCATCCCAACCTTAGCTGATCGGTCACAGTTTTCATCAAGTTGTTTCTTCAAAAAGAGCCTAGTGTGTACTACCAAAGTGAGCTGCAAAAAAGTGAACCGAGGTGCCTGCTACTCTAGAGGTTAGGCTTTGAAGTAGCCTTACGTGTGTACTATCCTGGTGCTACCTTAGTCTGTACCCTTTGGCTTGTGCAGGGCTTAACTCAGCTTCAAGACCCCAGGAGGTATTAGTGTTAGGTATGGCATGTTTATTGAAATCTATTGATTACAATCACGACTTTTCCTGAAAAATCTGGTCACTTAATATAACCACCGTGAATAGCACACCACATATTATCACATATATCAATGAATCTCAGAAGTGATGAGGTTTGTTGGATGGGAAATAATAGCATAATCCTTCAAAAGTAGGCAACCAAATTATTTTTTCAAGTTTACAATTTTTTTTACTAATTGAATGTTTAGCGCCAAAAATATTTAATAATTAGAGATGGAATGTATCTGCATGCATGCGTCTGTCTCGCTGCCATCTATCTGGTGAGGCTCACCCGGGGTTTCACGTCGGCCACGGACGTGACGAGGGTGAACGGAGGTGACGAGGGCTCCCGCCGCCCCGCCAGCTCTCCTCGACACCAGCAGCAGTGCTGCCCCTGCTGGCCGCAGGAAGCGACTCCTGTGCTCAACTATCAGCTCGGCAGACGCCTTGGGCGGAACGGTGACGGTGCTGCCACCTGGCAGCCGGAAATCGGACGCGTCTGCTCCGGCGATGACGGCGTTGTACACCAGGGGGCGCTGGCTAGGATTGGATATTTGCACCTAATGTGCAACAATAAATTGTCAGTGATGAAGAAACGGTATGTACATACACATACATATATATACACGCACGAACGCACGCACGCACGCACACACTCATGCATGCACGCACACACACACACACACATAAGGAAAGAAAATCAGATTAAACATGTTAAACCGTTTTGTGTAACAATACTGATGGCAAGATAGTTTCGATCGAGATGGTACAAGTTGTCGTACTTAATCAATCAGAGCATAAACACTCATGCACTTCTTACCCACCCTGGATTCACCAACAAGTCCAGGTGAAGGCAAAAAAAACAAAAAAACATTTGAGTGAGATTAGCATAAGTAACAAAAAAACAGCAAAGATGTAGGTTAATTGTATGTTGAATTCTAGAGACGAACCCAAGACCTGTAAACATGATAGATACACACGTACGTATCGATGCACATATACACATACGACCAGATTTATATAATATATATATAGTATATATAACAGGAACATATAATAGCCGGTATACATAACAGGACATTTTGTCCACCTAATCAGGGAAAAAATTCCTTTTTTCTCACGGGAGCTCTTTTTCAAGTCTGTGGAAAAAATAGCTCTCCTCGTCAACACAAAAAATAGCTCTATAAAAATTTTACAGGAAGCTATTTTGAGCCTCACGGGAGCGATTTCGAGGTTTGAAGATGCGAATCGCTCATCGCTCCCGTGTATATTTTACCCTGCACCTGTACTACACACGTCTCGTGAGCTGCAGCTCTCACCTTCTTGCTAACGGTCGCGTGAAGGCTACTGACAAACTGCACGTCAGCCTTGGGTAGATCACTGCGCAGCATCTGATAGAGGTAGGTACACAGCAGCAGCATCGCCACCGGGTTATGATCCGTTAAATCGATCGCCTGAAACACAAGAGCCGTTCAGTAGTGGCGTCGCACGCGCCTACACGGACCACGCTCTCAGCGAGCGCGATAGTTTACTGCTACTGATTCCTATTTCAAATTCGATTATCACTCATGCATTGTGACTAGATTGTAAATTTTTGGAGATATGGTGAATAATGCTTTGCGGGAATCTTTGATATCGATTAGAAAAATTATGACTAAACAGATTTTCGTCAAATTCCAGTTTCTGAGACACACAGACTGGTAGGCATCAGATATACTATGAGTAATCTCAAGACAACTAGCATAATTAGTAATGCCCCCATATATAAAGGCATTGGTAATAGATAGTGCTTACATCATGTATTATATGTGAATGTATTGTAACTGTATGTAATGGTATTAACATGTGTACACATGTATGTATCTAATAATTATAGTGGCTTTCATTGAGTATTTCAGAACCACCATAATTATAGTACCAAATTGTATATATCCATTTGCCCAATTAATGTGTGAACTTCACAGGCAACTTGCTGGATACTAATATGCTCAAAGTTCTCATTCACTTGCCAACCATAAGCCAGAAAGTGTATACAACAACTTTAAACAACCAACACCCAATATCACGCAATCTCGATGACGTCAGTGGTGTGATAGCAAATGCTGGTCTTCACCGTGACAACGCCGGGTGTATCTCACGTGTAGCCATGACAACGCCGGGTATATCTCACGTGAAACCACAACAATGCCGGGTATATCTCACGTGTAGCCATGACAACGCCGGGTATATCTCACGTGTAGCCATGACAACGCCGGGTATATCTCACGTGTAGCCATGACAACGCCGGGTATAACTCACGTGAAACCATGACAACCCCGGGTATATCTCACGTGTAGCCATGACAACGCCAGGTGTAACTCACGTGAAACCATGACAACCCCGGGTATATCTCACGTGTAGCCATGACAACGCCGGGTATAACTCACGTGAAACCATGACAATGCCGGGTATATCTCACGTGTAGCCATGACAACGCTGGTGCGTGAAGCCATACCTGAATATCATACTGAAGCCCGAGGAATCGGAAGATGCTGACGATGCGGAGGGAGTTGTGCAGACACTGCTCAGGAGTCTGCGGGTCCGAGTACATCCCTGCCAGGTGACTATCCACCTGCACGTGAAACAACAGGTGTTCTTAATTAGCAGGTAGCTATGACTAATGCAGGTTCGTGTTTAGAATGCACGCAATAGGATATATGTATGATGATGAAGATGATGATGCTACTGCAGCTTCTAATGATTGTTGTTGTTATTATGAATATTTTTTGTGGTAGTGGCGGTTGCAGTAGCAGCAGCAGCAGTAGCAGCAGCAGCAGCAGTAGCAGTAGCAACAGCAGCAGCAGCAGCAGCAGCAACAGCAGCAACAACAACAGCAGCAGCAGTAGTAGTAGTAGCAATAGCCTCCGTCGTTGTCATCGTAGCAGTAGTATTACAGTAAAAAATAGTACTATATTACTCAGGGATATCTTCTCATCTACGGAGGGCCCTGTCACTTATATTAAAGTATGGAACCTACCAAGAATGGACAATACGCTGCAAGCATGGTGGCCATCACCAATCCATCCTGGAGGTCCTGGTCAAAGTTCACGACCCAGCGCTGTGGCGGGACGTTACCTGGGCAAGTGCAAAGGTTATCGCACTACATGTAACGTGAAATACGCGCAACACAACGATACCAGCGTTAAAAATACGCTACCCGCGTCAGCATCAATGCTTTTTACTGTGTTCCTCCCATGTTACCTCAATTCACCTCTGATTCTCCATGGAAGGTATAAATCAAGATCACACATATATACTTATGATATAATTTAGGATTAACATGGATTACCTTGTAACCCTAATAACGTGATTTAGTTCTGCTTTGATTAGCTAAGACGCACAATGAGATATGATTATGAACAACTCTCTTTCTCGCATCTCACGTAAATGCTAGAGACCGCCTGGCTGTAAAGCACACAGTATGCTAGCATGCTTCTATCACAGCAGTCTTCAGCCTTCAGCTGGGTTTACACTACCAACTTTATGTTGTCAAATTGGCGAGTTGGACCAATTTCGCAAATTCGGCAACACTGAGTTGCCGAAAATAGAACAAATTCTAATCTCCCAACTATAGTTGCTATTAACCAGTTACTCGCGCGACTTTTGCGTTTACACTGCGGATTGTCGGTTGTATAGTTGCGCAATTGTTCCAATTCGATCCAATCTTAACAATGCCAGGGAAGTAGACTAACTTCCTGTATGTAGTTGCTGGACGGACATGCGGCCCCCGTTATTGCACGCAGCGCACAGCTCGCGGCGAATACGCCGCCCCATTTTTGTCCACTTAGACAGATATGTTAGACAGCGGTCTGAAAACAAACTCTGCGAAAACCGGGCGGAATCCAACCGACATTTTGCCATCGACGGCTAGAGGCCATCTCCAAACGGCCCCTATTAATTACGGGTAACACGTAGTAGCTCCTACAAGAAACCCCAAGAAATGCTGTCCCTCAGCGACCACGCGCTCGCTCATTCACCCAAGGCCGCCGTAGCCGAGCCGGTGTAGGTGTGACGAAAACTGCGCGATGTTACGCTTCCCGCTATACGAATTCGCGCGCCGAAGGAGGACGGGGGCGCGAATTCG